AAAGTGATCCATCGGATCGTTTTGACTAAATTTACTGATTATACTCTACAATGTTGACATCAATAATACTATGCTTGCAAGAAAGCACTTTCTGTGTATGATCAGCATTCATATAAACATGAAATGATATATTGATCAGGAAGAGTGGTATCATAATCTTGCATCATCGCAACAGATTCATGATGTCGAATAAAATCAGTAAACACAATAGTCAAGAATTCAGATAAATGTGGCAATCGAATTTTTTAGATTATATCTACTTAATATTGTTGCCACAATGTGAATTATGGGAGCTGTATTTGCACTTAATCAAATGGAGTGAATGATATAATAGTGTGAAAGAGAAGACAAATGTTTCCCAGGCAGACAAACAACTCCAAAAATGCAGATAAACACCCAAAAAAATTGGATGTTTCCAGATGTCAATCCTGCTTTTCAATGATCAGCGAAAAGTAGCCAAAAAAAAAGTCGTAAAAACGATCGATTCTTCCACAATTAACTTTTTTCACCGCATTTTCTCTGATCCCAAAGTAAAAAATCCGAAATATGGATGTAAACGTTTAAAAAGTCGACGTTTAGGGCATCTATTCAAGTGCTCAGAGAAATGGTTGTGAAAAATTTCTTATGATTACACTTAAAATTTACCCTTTCTATAAATTTTCACTACTACTTTCCCCAACATGCGTTTAAACGCCAAAAATACGAACTTTTTGGACATTAACACGCATTTTCTGAAACTTTTGTCTGTCTGGATTGAATGCAAATATTTTATCATTTGAGTAAACGATTTCACGGTTGATCTATTTTACAGACCACTCTGTGTGAATAAATAAACGATGCCACTAAGAACCATGGCGACAAAGATAGCAAATTTTATTGGTACCTTAATTTTTCAGTTTTTCTTGTCGCAATTCATACATAAGCATGTAAAAAGTTTCAATTTCCGCGCTAAAATAAGTTTTACGTAGCGAAACTATGCTAGAGTCGAGTGTGAACAAACTCTAGAGACGTAATTCCCATCAGGCTCAGCTTAATCTAGTGTCGAAGTCAGGTGAGACTCAAGCTTTTCAAGCCTACACGTTCCACCGCTCATGCATAATCTAATGTTTGCTCTAGCCCAAATATCACTTTATGTAAATAAGATAAAAGCTATTACTAAAAACCATAAGCACATAGTTAGTGAATTTACTATTCTCCGAATTTTTAGTTGTCTTTATCACAACAGATAAATACACATATTACAAGTTCGAATCTTCGCACTGATATAATATTCGTCTGATAGAATAAGTCTAAACCTTCATGCGAATAAATATCGAATTCATATTTGAGATGAGGCTCAAGCCTCACCTAGCCTATACGTTCCGCTGCCCATGCTTCACAGTGTCTTCTTATGACATTTGGTTTGCTAAAACACCAATACAATGATGAAAGCTTTACATTGTTATAGAATCAAATGAATATCAAAACTGTTGTTTTGAATAATGCTGTCAGTGATTCAATCAGTATTTTGGACTAGTGATTACAATAATGAAACATTATGTAACGCTATAATAGAGGAGAAGATGTGAGTCTACCAGGTCACTAACTGCGCATCAGCAAGGCAATATATACATGAAGAAGAAGTGAATAATGATGCAGGAAATAACGACCGGCAATAGTCAGTGTTTATGTCAGTGGTTCCATTGTAAGGATAAAGAATGTTCATTAATAGTTTTCGAATGACAAGTACGCAATTATTTCTGCTCTTTTTCTTACAGTGAGCGATCTGTGACCTTTATCGATCTATTCAGCCGGAAATGGTCATAAATATTCTTTTGAGTTTTTAATGACAGATCTTCGATGTGACCTTATTTTACTCATAAAAAAATGTCATATATATTATAAATAAAAAAGAACTTACCAATAACTTTTGGCGAAGTGAAACAAACTATCAGTACACTAATAACCATTGTTATAATTGTGAACATAGCAAATGCACCTGCAACAGTTAAAAATGGATGTAGTGACCAAAACGAATATTCTCTAATAAAAACATTCTATACATTATGATGATTGAGCAAAAAAAGAAAATAATATACAAATAGGTTGGAGTCATTGGTGACTTCTTCATTCTATCAGTACCATTGGCAAATTTTCTTGAATCAGTTTGATTTTGTGTTAAGTTTTCATGTTGCTCATTGCCGATATGAAAACGTTGTTCAACAAGCGAATTTTCAACTGAGATAGCAGGATTATCTATAAAATTTTCATTCATCTATAGTATAATAAATAGAATTCGACAAAAGATAGTTTTCAGGTAATATTCATGGGTTAATCATTAACGTGCTTTTTTTATAAGTTACCGTTTGAGTTATTGATTACGTCTTTTCTGTGTGAAAAACTTATAGATTTTTAACGATTCAGAAAATTTCTAAGAGAAGATTATCAATTAGCTTAGTAATTCATAATTAGAATTTCAAATCTAAAAGAATGAAATTCTTTGTTGTTTTGGAAACATTACTCGAGCATTTCGTACGAATAGCTTCTAAATGAACACCGAGAAATTCAGACTGTATCGAAAGGAAGACATTGTTTCAAAAAGTTTGAATTTTATCACAACGAAAAAGTTCGACGAGTATTGGAAATATGTGCCTAGAAAACAGTTCGAGCCGATATATAATGAGATATGTTTATAAAATATTTTCCAATTCGATCAATCGAAATAAGTTTTTTTCTATGATCCGTATCAGTCGAATAATCAGAAAGAACTTTCATTTCATTCAATTAAATATGAATGAATTCAGTGATTCGATTACGATAATCCTGATTATGATGGCATTCATGCTGCACATATGATGATCATCTTGGATCTTGTTTAGTTTAATTTTCAAATCTAAAATTATCAGCTATTATTTCACAACAAGAACACATACACATATCTGTAACTCCTAAACAGTATCCTGTTCAATGAAAAATGTTTTTATCTAGAGTTTATCGTTAATATTAATGATAGAAGCCACATTTTAGGTTGATAACATATCAAAAAAAGCAGCAGCACATCAAGTTAGAGATAATCTATATATTGACTACAGAATTTAGCAAGCGAAAAAATCTTCTATAGGAAAAAGCCGTTGATATACCGGTGAATATTAAAGTGATTCGACACTATTCGTTTATTAACTCACTGCAGATACCTTTGAACAAAGGATGGAAAGATCTTTATAGAATTTTATTATACATCTTTATATGATGACAGCCATGTTTTGCATAATTGGAAGAGCGAGTCTTACAAAGAATGATTTTTCCAATCATTCAATGTTACTTTTAACATTAAACCAAATCCAATTAATCAAAATAAAAATTTGGACTAACCCATTTGATTAATAGGGTTGTCTTCATAACTTATTTCCTGATAGCAAATTTATCAATTGTTAATTACTTTTTTTTCTTCGAGACGGAAGTCAAACGTTATATCAGAGAATATCTTTAAGTGATACCATTCGTTAGACCTAATATTTTTCTGATATTTTAGAATTACAATGAAGGTCAAAATTCTAGAAGGATTTAATCGTTTGTTATGTACTTGTAGAAAAAACAAACACTTTATTTCAGCTTATTTGTTTCTTTTCTTATTCTAATAATTTAAATTGAAAACGATATTACAAACTCTTCGCGTGTGTCCTTTTCACATTAAATATCACAATGCAGTTGAACTTGTTGTCCTTAAAATAAATGATTCTGTCTCTATATTATTGTTTTATACATATCTGATGAAGTTGATAATATCGCTTAGAGAAGATTTTTATCAATTGTTTTCATTGAACAGAAAAAGAAGAAATCGAAAATCAAATAAGAACTCAAGATAGCAACAAATCAAAATCTGTTTTCCTGTACGAATACAGTGACTACTATGCAAATAGTAGTATTTATTCAGGTCGTACAGAATAGTACGCATATGACGATAAATGAATAATAAACGGCATCTTTACATATAATGTCTGCTAAACTTGTTCTTTTTTTCAAGAAATTAAATTTCACATGAATAGCAAACAATATTGCTGACGAATTACAATCTTCTGAAAATACACGTCCATGATGTCATGATGCATTAAAAAGCA